ATGTGCAAGAAAAAGAAGAGTCTGGGTCAAGAAATAAATGTGAAATAGAAAAGGTAAGTGTTATAGTTATTCTAGAAAAGCCTCCAGGACATCAGTGTGAAAAGGGACTGATGGTTATTAATTTCTTCCAGTTTTCAGGGGAAGCTGAGTCTTTTCTAGAAGTAAATTTCAAAATGGTCGCTCCATGGAACCTCATCTAGGAGCACTGAATGCCAACAAGAATGGTATTTTCAACAACATTCTCACAGCAGAAAGTAATGGGTCACATACGGTCAATCTTGTCACATTCTTACAACTTGACTATGATCAGACTGTGAGTTATAATGAACTGGTTTTGACCATACATGAGTTTTCAATCAATCCCTTTGAGCACTGTGGCTGGTAGGCTCGTAGGTGACGCCCCTAAGAATCCTCACCTGCTGGTATTCATGCCCTTATATATTCCCTCCCCTTAAGCATGGACAGGGCCTGTGACTTGTTTCTAACCAATAGAATATGGCACAGGTGATGGGTTGTTAATTCCCTGATAATTTTATATAAAATTGTACCTTCTGTCTTGCTAGCAGACTCTATAGGCTCTCTGCCTTGTGGCTCTGATGGAGTAAGCCTCCCTAAGGAGAGGCCCACGTGGTCAGGAACTGCAGGTACCTCCAGCCAGCAGCCCTCAGCAAGGAAATGAGTCCTGCCCACGGCCCCATGACCTTGGAGGTGGCTCCTTTCACTGACAAGTCTCAACAGTTACCCCAGCCCTGGCCAACACCTTCACTGCAGCACGGTGAGACCCAGAGCCAGAGGACCCAGGTAATTCCTGCTCAGATTCCTGCCCCACAGAAACTGTGAGATCTTGGCTATATATGTTCTTAAGCAACTAAGTTGTGGAAATTTGTTATGAATCAATAGATAAATAGTACAGACATATTTTCAAAAAATGTAGAGCAGACTGTGTGTTTCTGCTAAGCTGAATGGACCACTCAGACCAGGACCTGGAAATATTGGGTAGTGGTGTATCTTAGATTTTGGTCACTTTTCAAGCTTTTGATTATGATTTCTCACTCCCTCCATGAGTACCGATGTCAAATCCCAAGCAGAAAAACTCACAGGTACTATGCAACTAACTGTGTCATGGTGTCAGTTATAAACAGAGATATGATATGCATGCTGGGATAATTAGAAAGTCATAAAAACATAAACAGAAAAAGGAACATGAGCATGGTTGGGCTTATAACAGGTGACATGAAATAATTCACCCAGGTCCTTCAAGGCTTTCCAAACATGTCATACACAGAAAGGCCAATCTGTTTAAAAATACATACGTACATATTTACAATCCAACGGGGGCTTTAGGTGAACGTATTCAGTACAGACAATGATCTAATTTTTGGACTAACAGATTTAGTGATTGGGACATTGATAAAATAAATTCTTCATTCTGTCATTCATTTAACAAATAAATTTTTATTATCTTCCATGAGCCGGGTTCTTCCTAAATGTGGGAGATAAAGGAGGAAAGACACTCAGTCTTGCTCTCAAACTCACAGCATAGCAGATTTAAGAGTTGTGACTATGTACTAAAGACATGCTGGGTACCAGGATGTGCCAAAAACTTTGTACATACTGGCTCATTTGATTCAGAAAACAGAAATTTGGTATTATCCCATTTTAACAGATCAGCAAACTGAGGTTTACGAGTCATAGAGCAAGTAAGCAGCAAAGCCGGAATTTGATCCTGAGTCTTTGGACTCTAGAAATTGCTTTTGACCTTCTGACTGTCTTCTTGTTTAATGAGAGTTTCTCACATTACCAAAGCAATATATGTTTATTATAAAACATTTAGAAAATATGGGCAAATAAATGGAGGAAAAAATTCCTTGATTTCACTATCGTTTTTATAGCTATCATTCTAGAAAGTTATGGATGTTTCAGTGGAGAGATGGATAGATAATTATCTATATGACCATAGTTTATTAAGCAATCTGTGTTTGATCTCTCAGGCCCTTTGGAATTTCTTGCTACAGGGATTTTTGCAGGGAGCTACTTAAAATCAGCAGCTCTTCTGACTTTTATAAAAGCTTAAATTCATAGAAAAGATGATGCTTCCTTGTTCCAAAGACGGAAAGGGAAGGATTAGCTTAATGGATCAAAAGGAGAAAGAAGCTCTGCCTATGCAATTAAGAGATAAATGTCAGTGGATCCTAAGTTTAGGGTGGAGTAGGCTCCCTGGAGGTGGAGGTACAGAGACCTCCAAGAAGGACAGCTGTGTGGCTCACCAGAGTCTCCAGACCCCAGGCACAGGGACAACCCAAGCATGGAACAAAATCGGCAACACCTCTGATCCAAGGCATCATGGGACCATGTGTATTCAGATATGGACATTGGAGAAACAACATCGGTCTCCTGAGATAAACGACCTGAGGGGTCCTCCCAACACTCTGTGATTCCTTGAGATGCAGGGATTCTTGCACAACTCTGAGAAGGGGAGATCTCCAGTTGTGACTGAGATGAAACACCCTACCATTCTAGCAGCAGGGGTGCTCAGAGGGAGGCTGAAAGAAAATAATATGACACTTCTGATGCCCCCGACTTTGTGGACTAAGATCCACAAAATCCATGCTTGCTCTGCTATCTCTGCAAGTACTGATGCAGACAGTATGATGGAGCAGACACCCTGATAGACTTCAGGGACCCTAACAAAAATGAGGCACAATCTCTTCACTTATAGTCTACTGACAAAAATAATAAATAAATCATTTAAGAATTATAAATACCAAGTGCTTGATGAATCCAGATGATGCCTTACTTAATTTTGCAAATGACAATATGTATCAGTTAGCATTTCCTAGAAAAAAACAAAACAAAACAGAACAGAACCAGTAAGATAGATACATAATAGATAGATAGACCCACAGATAGATGGAGATGTAGGAGGAGTTTACTTTAAGTAATTGTTTTAAATAATGGTGGGATCAGACTGGGAAATCCTAAATTTGCAGGGCAGGTCAGCAGACCAACAGGAAACTCTCAGGCAGGAGCTGATGCTGCAGATTTGAGGCAAAGTTTCTTCTTCTTCCAGAAAACCCAATTTTTGCTATTAAGACCTTCAACTGACTGCTGATGAGGTCCTTCCAGATTATCAAAGATAATCTCCTTTACCTAAATTCAACTTACCGTAGATGTTAAACACATCTGCAAAATACCCTCTCAACAACATCTAGAGTAGTGCTCAATTGAATTATTGGACACTATGGCCCAGGCAAGATGACACATAAAGGTCACCATCCCTACAGAATGGGGGAGATTGGGCTGGACCTTGAAGGATGGTTAGGCGTCCACCAGGTGGAGAAGAAAGGCCATGATGTACACGAGGCTGGCGTTGGGGAATGCTGAGTAGTCCTGTGTGGTTGGGACTGGGGAGGACGGATGGAGAGATGGGCTAAGACAAAACAGGGACTGGAACTCCAGTGAGCCAGGGAGGTGGAAAGTGCCATGTGGCTCTCAGCTTGTGAGTAACTTGATCGTGCGCAGTTAGTTTCTGGAAAGACCAGTCTCGGGACAATGTGGAGAATGGTGGGGAAGTAGGTTTAGAAGGTTTAGGGAAGAGCGAATGGTCCAAATCCAGATCCTGGCAATGAGGATAGGGAAGAGGGATACCATGGGGAAGATATGGAAGAACCAGACTCCACAGGCCACAGGGACCTCTGTGTCAGTCACCACTTATCAATCTCTGTGCTCTCTCCCTCTCTGCTTAGACTTGGTGTTAACATCCTTGTCAACACCATAGTCTCTATAGCCACTACCAACATGGGGAACCCCCGGGCAATCTCTAGCAGGGGAGGCAATAGATGTAACAGCATCATGACTACAGTTGTGTAGGAAGCATTGAATCCAACACACCAGCACCTCCCAGCTCAGATCATACACGTGTGTGCATGCACACGCATGAGCCCTCACACATACAGCCATTGGCTGCAGAAGCTAATTCATTCACATTTTCATCTCACTTGGAAACTTATGCAGTTGGAGACCCAGAAACAGCTTTTAAGATTCTAGCTTTTGAATCCATAACTAGAAACCTAGCCCAGACATTGCTCTGCACAAAATGGAAGTGGAATAGTGTAGCATAAAGTTGCATAGAGACAGCAGGTTGATAAATATTTTAAATCCCAGTTCCATTTCCACAACAGTTCCTAAAGCCTTACCTCGACGGAGAATGAAATTCCTCTTTGATCAGAATCTGTAGAGATTTGTCTTTTTCCAGTGTTTTAGCAACAACTACTACTCATGATAGGTTGCTTCAAGGTATATGGGATCCCTGAATCTGAAATGCATGAAGCACCCTCAGGATCTGCCTTGTGTGTGCTGAGTCTCAACAACTCTGCCCCAGCAGGCACATTTGGTTTTTAAATTCCCATCTGCATGCACACATGCCTGTCCCACGGTCTGCATCCCACTGTCCCCACCCCCCTTATTTTTCTTCCTGAGCACACCAGGATTGCCCACAGGCTTGCCTCCAGCTTCTTTTTTTCTAATTTCAGAAAAGAAATTCAATATTTGTGTACAGCATTTTAAAATTATTTTATTAAGAAAAGTTTGTGCTGGGCATGCATGCTAAGCTCTGGGCTAAACACCAGGGACCCAGAAATGCATGAGAAACATAGTGTCTTACCCTCCAAGAGCTCAAGTGAAAGAGATAAGGAGACAACGAAGAGAGCATTGTCTTAGCCCAGGATTGAGAAACAAGTAAATGTTGGGGTTTGGCTTTGAGTAGATGCCATGAAGACAGCATTCCAGGGCTAGCATTACACGCCAAGAGGCTGGTGAGGAGGGGTCTCTCTTAGGAGTAGTGCAGAGGTGGGGGAGGGGGCTGTGACGCTGGCAGGACTGAAACCTGAAGGACCAGGGGGTCCTCTGAGCCATTTCTTTACTTTCCTATTGAGGGCCAGGTGGTAAGGGAAAAGGGATATGAGGCTAGTGCCCTAGGCTCTTAGCCCCCGTCATGATGGCTAGTGGAAGAGATTTGGGGTGGGGGCACTACTGGGACCAAGATTCCTGAAAGTCAGGGACAGCAGTCTGGGTAAAGCCAAGTGCTTCTCCTTTTTGTCTTCTGAGCTGCTGTGCTTTGCACCTGTGTGGAGGCAGATGGTGTCCTCGTCCTTTGACTCCTCTGGCTCCTTCCTTGACTTGGGGGGATCCCATCTTCTCTGTAAACAAAAGAAAAAGAGGATGATAAGAGGATGGCACCCACAGAAAGACGTCCAGATGTTGGAGGGGAAAGAAAAGAGAGAATGAGTAAGAAAGAGAGCAGTGCTTTCTAAACTTTGTCCCTTCATGGTGCACATAGAAAAGATTATTTACAGAACACATTTGGGTACATGAAAGATTGGCCAAGGCCACCCAGCCACTCTGGGGACAGCATGCACCATCATCATCACACACCTGTAACCCATACTCACTGGGAAGCTGTGGAAAGATGGTTTCCAACGAGAGACAGCAGAAGGAGAGAAGCCATGATCAGAGGCAGAAACGGAAACAAAAGTCAGGAGACTATCTAGGATAAGGAAGGGCAGAGTGAGCTTCCAGGGGTGCAGAGCCTGGAGGGAGGAAGTAGTCTCAGCAGTGAGCAGCTGATTATGCTTTCGGGTCTCATCCAAAGAGGCCCCTCTGATTTACAGTTCTTAAAAGGACAATACATGTCATCTCAGGAAAAGGCAGGAATAAGTAAGGATGCAGGAGCCACACCTGGAAATGAAAAAGGGGAAACTGAGGCACTGGAGAGGCTGCATGCTGGACTTTTTAATGAGTAGGGTCCTCCATCCCATCCCTCCCACGACCCAGGCAGCATCCAGGTTCAGGAAATGGAGAGGGGAGGAAGCGAAGAAACTGGAATGTTGGCTTTCAGGGCACTGACTTAGCCCTGCCACCTACCTTCCTTTCTCCTCAGACCACACTGGGCAGACGATGCCTCCTGGGTCACCCTTTGAAAGCCTCCAGCTGCAGGGACATGTCGTGGCTTCTGGGAACTGTTGCCGGGAGGGTCTACAGGGGAGAACACAGGGGCATCAGGATGTCGCCTCTGTACTAGGAGCCCACCTGGAGTAAGAGCCCCGTGGCCCAGCCTCATGGACGTGGATTTTGGGAAAAGCTCATCTGGGAAGGTAAGATGATGTTTCGGAAGGATCCCAGCCCATATGAGAAGTCTGGGGTGTTTTCAGATCCTTTCTCCAGCCCTCCCAGCCTCTCAAGTGCACAGGGCACGTCCCTCCGTCCTCTTCGCCTCCCCTTCCCTGGGCCACTGGTCTGAAGGGGGCCCTGACAACTCACATCAAGGGACAGAGCTTCACACGTGTCTTCCCCACAAAGAAATGGTAGCTTAATAGGAGCCAGACTTTCGTCCTGGGAAGGAACCTTTACGGCTGGGACATCACATCTCTGACAGAGGGCGGCATCTGGAAGGAGCACGCAATTTCTAGGCAAAGGCAGGCGCTTTCCCGGGCCCCTGCATCTCCAGCCCAGGCCCCTCCACACGCCCTTCCTTCGGGTGCCCGGGCTGCCGCAAGGAGCCGGAATCCCAGCAACTGTGGCATCAGTGGCTCCCTGGGCTCAGTGTGGGGACGGCAGCCTGGTCTGGAACAAGAAGCCTGCGCTGCGCCATTTAGAAGCCCCGTCTTCTGGAGAGTTTTGCACCCAGGAACTCCATGGGAGAAGTGGATGTTCCGCAGGCCAACCGCCAAAGCACGCGGTCGGAGCCCTGCCCGGCTGCCCAGGAAACCCTGGAGCAACTGCCGCTGGGCGGGGTGGGGGGGGCGCAGGCTGGGCCCCCGTGGGTCCCCACCCTCTCACCCACCCTCTCACTCGCAGCCCTGCGCTCCTGCGGGACGCCGCTGCTCCCGGACATGGACGGAGGCACCTGTGTCTCCCGCTGGCCTAGAAGGGAGCAAGGGTTCCCGGAGACCGTCGAATAACTTGGGCGCGTGCACAAACGTTTCCGGGATTAGGAGGCTCTTAAAAAGAAGTTGTAGCTGTTGCAAATATATAATATACAGATAGATATGATGGTACATGAACCATAGTCAAGATGACTGCTGGAGGACACCAAAGGGAGGAGGGGGGGTGCGGCCCCCCAGGGCAGCAAGGGTGTCAGGCCTCCTCTGTCAAGTCATGTGCTGCCATTGACGCCACCACCCCTACCTGGCTGAGCCTCAGGTTCCGCGAAAGAAAAGTGAGCCACTGAGAGACGGCTACGCAGGAGGACAGGAGAAATCCCAAGGGCCAAGCACCCGGGTGGGTGGACGGGGCGGAGAAAGCTACAGGGAGAAAGGAGAACAACGGAGGAGAGGGAATCCTTGGCGGGACAGGGGCAGTGAGGCTAAAAGGCAGGGGACATGATGGGAAGCCAAGGACAGGGGCAGGGAAGGGAGGGCAGGGCGGTGGGGACCTGGGGGCGATGGGACGGGGAGGCATGGCCAGGGCTGAAATGCAGAAGTAGTGGCCTGCATGGGCCAGGGCTGGTGGGGCTGGCCGGGCAGTGCAAGGCAGGCTCTTGTTCCAGGTCATCGCTGAGAGGGAGACCAAGCAGGGGCAGGGAGCAAAGGGGGCTGGCCAGGCAGTTCAGAAAGCCCAAAATGTCCTTCCCTCTTTTGTCCCCTTATCCCCTGCCCCCAACCTCCCAGTCCTGATAACAAGAAAATCCCAAAAGGTGCAGTGGGAGGATGGGGACCAGGCATCCTTTTCAGAAAGAAATGGTAAGTGAATAGGGATCAGTTGAAAATGGCCAGGAAATGGCGCCCTAATGGTGGAGAGTTAGGCATCCAGTATGGAGCCCAGGGGAGGGGCGGGCTTGGGGCCTTCCTGGCCCCTTCAAACTCCACCCTAGGCCACTTCTCCAGGGAAAACTAGGGTGCAAGGGAGGCTCAGAAACGGCTCACAGGAGGAGGAGATGGGGCTGCCTCACTGCCTCCTCTGGGGAGGCTGCCTGCAGCATGGTAGTCACAGACACATCGGAGATTAGGTAGCAGAGGGGGCCAGGGAGAACCCCGCCTCCCCCGAGAACCCCTGCAAGGCTGCTGGAGAAACTCTGGCAGAACCAACTGCCACTTTTCCTCTCCCTGACCACAGGGCGCTGGGGGAACTACTCTTGGGCCCAGAGAACCCCTCAAGTGGCACCAGCCAGTGCTCTGGGTGAAGACCCGGCCATGACCATGAATGAAAAGTGGAATCAGAGCATTGCTCGACGGTCACCAACCGAGCAGGAGAGGTTGGATTTGGGATTTCTCTTCAGGCAGGGGCTCTGAGTAGCTAACTGTGGTATTGCTCTTGGAGTGAGCTCACATGTATAGAGACCCAGCAGAAAACAGAAGAGACTGTCCCAGTAAACCAAGTCCCAGCAGACCCAACTGCCAGGCATCTTTGGCAGCAGTGCTGTCCTGGCCAGGGTGTCTTTCACTTCCCTCTTGATTTCCCTGTCACCACTCTCCTCTGATATTTGTTCAGGAATTCACCCAATCTGTAAGCTCATTGCCTTATTAAATATTTGTGGAGCTTTGCTGGGCAGTGGGGATACAAAGAGGAATGACACAAAGTCCCTGCATTCAAGTATCTGGCTCTGTAGTGAGAAAGGGCCGACGGACATGCCGAGAATGGAGCAGAAATACGCGGCAAGGGCTGGTGGTCAGACGTACCCACCCCTTCGTCCCTGCCTCCACTGATAAATTCAACTACAGAGAAAAAGTTGTGTTCAAAAACTGCTCCAGGGCAGTCCTATCAATCAGGAAAGAGTGTTCCCTGTGTCCAGGCAGGTAGAAAGTTGGAAACTAGAAAGTTCTTTGCCCCCTCAGGAATTCACGGTCTAGAAAATACAAACCACACTCACCTACTTATATTATCAGGATACTGACCTTAAGCAGCACTTAAGTTCTGAAAAAGGAAATTATCTGGGGAATTTAGGGACAGCGGGAGTGGTCTCCGAGAGTCAGAGGCTTCCTGAGACCAGGACTGGGGGAGGGGGAGTAGGAAGCCCCCAGGATCTAGGCTTTGGGGATGTCAGTGCTCATGGGCCTGGGATTGCTTCTGGAAGCTGCCTCATTGGTGTCCCCAGTTGAAGGGCAGAGGGCCAGGGGATGGTCCCAAGAAGGTGGTGACATCCCAGATGCTGCTCAATAAGGAGTCTGAAGGTCTCCTGGAGGGGGCCAGGAAGTGATGGGATGAGGCTGGAGTATCACCAAGATGGTGCTTCCTTGCAATCAGCAACAAGAGAGGAAGGAGGACGGTGTCTCAGTGGGAAGGAGGTGGGGTCTGCCCCCTCCCTGCTAGCCCCTGCATCGGGGCCATCACTGCTGGGGAACAGGTCACATGGAGGCCTATTTGAGCAGTCTCAAATACCTATAGGCACTCCAGACTCTGGAGATATGGGATGAGCAGAAAAAAGGAAGTAAAAATGCTGAGTTTATATCTGAAGTAAGAAAAAGGGAGAGTGAACACACAAGAGGAGAGAGGAAAGAGTCATGATGAGAAACGTCATAATGTACAAAAAAAGGAGACAGGAGAGGAGGAGGAGGAGAGAATGTCCTTCAGGGGAACAGATGCAGAGGGTTTTAGAACAAGGAGAGAAGTGCAGAATGAGCTGGTTGGCTGGACCTTGCCCAAAGAGGATGGAGCTTGAGTGCTTCAGAGCCTCCAGGGTAGAGGCAGCGACTGGGCAGAGGCTGGGGTGGCCCAGTGGACCAGAGGGTATGTCTGGTCAGAGTTTTTCTACTGGGAGCAGGAACATGGGGATGGGTGAGGTGCAGAGACATGGTCGGCCTCTAGTCGTAACTCTGGGCTGTATCTCTCTTGGAGTGCAATACGGATGAAGAGAAAAAGAGGAGGTTACAGCAAGAAGCTGTGGGCCAGGGTGGTGCAGCTGCAGATAGACCTTCCTGGGGGAAGAGCTCTTCCCTGGCCTGTGAGTGGCACCTCCAAAACCCACCAGGACCCAGGTCCTGAGCCAATGACCAGCATGTATGGGCAATCAAAGATTGTGTTTCCAGAACCTCCTTCCCAGCACCTAGCCTTATCCAGCTGCCCTTGGTGGGATGGTTTGAGCTTCCCTCCCCACTGTCAAAGGGGGCCCTCCTCCCCCCAGCCACCCTACCTCAAGGGGACACAGCCAATACTCTGAGGAGAGGAGTGTTGGTGGCCCTATACCTATTTTTTGTTTTCCACTCTGAAAGATACACGTGTTAGTTGTAGTCTATTTCCCCGAGAGGAGCATGACTGGAGTCAGTGTAAAGGAGAGAGGACTATTTGGGGCTGAGAATCGGGGGCCGAGGCATTACCCCAGGAGTCAGGGCCTGGACTGCTCTCGCCCCCCAGGGAGGTTCCCATTCTCCTGCCCTGGAGCCTGGGCAGCCCTGAGAACTTCAGTTCCGAGGAGGCTCATTGACACTGGCACAGCCCAGGGAAGCAGTCTCGGAAAGAAGCAGCCCTTCCTCTGGGGAGGACCCGGGCCGTTCTGTGCCCAGAAACTGATGGAATAAGCAGTTGCAATGCATGCGCCCAAGCCAGTCACCCGGATTCCTGTAGTTAACAGTCACTGCCACCACCGCACGGCCCCATCTGCCCTCCGCCTCACTCCTGCAAGGAAGAGGGCTGTGCCGGGCCCAGGGGACCCTTCATGTGGAGTGGGACGCCCAGCTCCTCTTGCCAGACAGCTGCACTGACTACAGAGCCCTAAATAGAGACCAGAGCTGTGAGACGGTGCAAGCTCCCCTGTGTTACTTGTGGCTGGGAAAAGGGGGCCCGGGATGAGACTTGGGTGCTTAGAAGATGATCAAATGACAGTTCAGTTCAAGAAGTGAGCAGCAGTCTGGGTCTGGGTTAGGCTGAGGGTTTCACTCTAGGCTAGTTCCCAAGGTGTTTTTCTCTGGAGCAACAGCTTTGACAATTTGAGCCATAGGGTCAGCTTGGACCCAGGGAAAGGTCCCCCAGAACTTGACCCGTGTGACCCAACTGAGTACGAGGCACTGAAACAAGCCCTGTCCGCCTGCTGTCTCTTACTGTCCTCAATCCACAGCACCCTACGGTTGTTTCTTCATTCACAGATGTATTTTTCACCAAACAGCTATTAACTTGAACTTGGTGCTGGTGATATAACAATGAGTGGGTCATGGTCCCTGCCCTCGAGTAGCTCACCCTGTCCCAGAGAAAGACGTAGTCCTAATATCAGGAGGGTGTTCTGAGAGACCTTTGTTAGGCCTCGAATATCAAGACCCCGCAGCCTTCCTCCTATATTGCACCTCAGAAGGAATCGAAATCACTTTAGATTGTAAAGGCAGCTAAAATGTCACTAGAAAACCACTTCAGTTAGAAACTATTTGGGAAGTAGCAAGGAGCGAGCTAGGTCTCTGCTGGTCAAGGCCTCATAGTCTTAAAGGAGATGTTGCTTTGGGTGTCCAAATTCCCATCATCTGCCTTTTTGCTATACTGGTATTTTAGGGAGCAGAAGAAATCTTTGGGGCTATGTCCCATGTGGAAAGTACCCCGAAATGCTAGAGACCTCATGCTTGTAAAGGGTTTTGACCCCAGGCCCTAGGCTGGCAGTTCTCCA